AAGAAGTGAAAACCACTAAGCTGGAGACAACATACCCCAAGCTCACCACCTCCCTCTCCCATTACCTGAGTTCTAATGGCTCATGTCTCAGGGGATAGAAAGAAAATGGGGAGTTCTGTTCATTAAATTCAGGCTTTCATTTGCAATGATCCCACTTGCCCAAAGAAACCATGATGCAAACAGGGTGTCCCCAAGGGATGTAATAATTTTTGAAAATCTCTGACTATAACCAGGAGTTGTCAAAACTCACCAGTCAGCCTGGAGAAATACCTGCATACTAAGACATCTGGGGTGAGTTTTTGAATCATGAATGAGGAAAGGATTCCATGGACATTCTGGAAGCTCTATACATCCTTCAAATAATATTTACAAAGGTAGGAATATGATTCTATGCTGTAAGGAAGCCTACCTTACTGAAAAGTAAAGAAAAACTAAGTCTGTACATTTATTTCATATAACCATGTTAAATATGAGGAAGGTTTAATGAAAAAATATATTGTTAACAATTAATGTTTTATATATATGCTTATTCTAAAACCAAGTCCCATACTCCCTGCTCTGAAGAGGAAAGACAAGACCTTGATGGAATACTTTCACTGTAGATGTGGCCACTCTCCCAATGCCCTTACATCTTTATATATGTGGATATGAAGCTTACATGAGAGACATGGTATGAATCTCAAGAACCCTCACATTTCAATTTTCTTTAAGTATTTAGAGAAAATGTTGAACTTATTTTCTGCATAGACTCTTAAATTGTGAAGGACTCTAGCATGCTATGCAACTTGTAAAAATGAATCTAAACAATAATTTACGTAACTCACTTCCATGTCTGTATGTAAACGAGTAGAAATATGAAAGATTAAAATGTTAAATGTTAAAAATTATTTATAAACTGCACTGTTATTCATAAATTCAAGGGAAAATTGGACAGAAAAAAATAACTTGGAATTAGAGAATTCATTATGTAGCTTTGGTCTCAGTCACACAAGGTTTGCATTTTGTGTTTAGGTAGTTTGTTAGGAATAAATAGGCAACAGAATATTATGGAAGTATAAATATGAGATTTCAGTACCCAGAATAGATACTGATATTATAAAGTATTTATTTAAAAATAGATACTGATATTTTCAAGTGTGACAGAAAAATTCAAACACTCAATAAGATGTCCATTCTTCGCCTCTCCTTTCCCCTCCCCCCACCTCTCTGTCTCCTTCTCTGAGTCACCTGAATGTTGGGATTAAGGCTTCTGTCACCACAGTTGGACCAAATACAGATGTTGTCTCTAAATCAAACAATGAAATGTGAGTAGGCAATAGTGACAGATGTCAGGCTAACCCTCTGCAAATGAATGCGTGAAAAGGGAACATTGATTGTGCTTTCCCCAGAAGGGTGACATGAGATGGACAAAATGGCTATCTCAGGTTTACAAGGCATGAGGAAGATCTGCCCTTGAGAAAGAGGATTCTACCAGACATCCATTTAAACTGATGAGTGACCTGGACACAAGGAAACATGAGATTCCACAAGGCAAATAAAACCATCAAAACACAAGTAGATGGTCTTCTGTACTAGCTGCCAAGACCACAAATGTCACATGGAAGAGCGAGCATCAACACTGGCTTCTGATTAGCCTTCACATGCCAGGGGGCATTTTGGAGAGGGAGAATGAATGGTCAACTCTATCCAACAAAGATATAACTGTGGATCAGGAAATACAAACTGTCTTCTCTGTTATGACAAACGGAGACCCCCATGAATCTCATCTACTTCTGAGGTCACACACTGCAGATGTGAATACTTTCCTTCCAATCTTAACCCACTTCTCACATTTTTGCTTTCTTTTCAACTGTGGCTGCTTTAGAGGGTGTTCAGAAATTGTTCCACCGCTGTAGCTGAGCAAGTGATGTAAATAGGAGATATGCCCATTGGACGACCAAGAGAAATTCCTAAATACCAGATGATTGGTACTGGACATAAGAAGGGAAATACCTAACCTGAGATAAGTATGTAGGCACTGTGTGAGTATACAAGCCCGTATGTGTTCCTTGGCAGGAGTGTTCTTGCTTTGATTTCGCTCTCAGATCCATTGGCTATGATTGTTGAGGGAAAAGAGAAGCACAACCCATTTGGCCCCTAGGGGTCAAAATAAAGAAGCTTCTTAATGTGTTGCCCATGTTTTCTGCTAGAAAGGACACTGATATCAAATCTCCATTGGGAGTTATTGTTGAAGTTCAAAAGTTTTTCTTTCTTTACAGGGTCATATTGAGCTGCTTAAATTCAGTGCACTGCACAAATGTATTGGAGCCAAAGTTCACAATTCTTTCACCAATATCCCAGCACTGTATTCCTACTGCTGACTTCACAGTAATGGGTTTTTCCAGTGGAAGGGGAAGAAATATTTTTGTAAAGTAAATCACCTTTTTACTGAGACGGTGTTGCTAATTTGATTTCAGGCTCATCCTTCTGATGCAGCTAGTTTTCTACTAAAACACTGAGCCCAAAATACTTAAGAATCTGATGTTTATCATTTAAATCTCACATGAAGTGCACAACTGATAAACTACACAGATTCTCTGCCATTAGTTGTTGAAGCAAACAGTGCTAATTAAAGCCATACTTGTTTGTGCTTTCTTTGTGTTTCATTTCACGTTTTTATTTTCCAGCTGCTTCCACAATTTCTATTGTCAACATGATTGTGAGAAACATAACCACAGTGAGTGGCTTCTTCCTCCTGGGGTTCTCTGACAAGAGGGAGCTGCAGATTCTACATGCTTGGCTCTTCTTGCTGATGTACCTGTTGGGCTTGGCAGGCAACTTCATCATCATCACCATCACAACGACAAGAGGGAGCTGCAGATCCTACATGCTTGGCTCTTCTTGCTGATGTACCTGTTGGGCTTGGCAGGCAACTTCATCATCATCATCATCACAACACTGGACCCGCAGCTCGAATCACCAATGTGTTACTTCCTGAAACACCTTTCCCTTCTTGACCTCTCCTCTCTGGCTGCCACTGTTCCCCAGTCTATCCACAATTCCCTGACTGGCAGTGGATACACTTCCTATGACCAGTGTGTGCTGCAGGTTTTCTTCTTCATATCCTTTGGTGGCGCTGAGGTTGCCATTCTCACAGTGATGTCCTATGACCGCTATGTGGCCATCTGTCTCCCACTGCACTATGAGATCATCATGAGTCCCAGAACATACAAGTTGGCTGTGACATTTGTGTGGATAAGTGGACACATTCCAGGAACCTTGTACACAGCAACCACATTCTTTGTGATATTCTGCAGAGCCAAAATAATCCACCAGTTCTTCTGTGATGTCTCCCAGTTGCTCAAGCTCTCCTGCTCCAATGATTACCTTGGAGTGACTGGAGTGGCTGCTTTCATGGCTGTGGTGGGAACTGCTTGCTTTACTGCCATTTGCCTCTCCTATATCCAGATATTCTCCACCATCCTCAGGATGCCCTCTGCTGCATTCTGGTCTAAGGTCTTCTCCACCTGCCTGCCCCATCTCTGCGTGGTCACATTTTATATTTCCACTGGTATCTTTGCATATCTGAAGCGACCTTCAGACTCTCCAACTGCTTTAGACCTCATCACCTCTATGTTTTACACAGTAGTTTCCCCAACCCTCAACCCTGTTATCTACTGTCTGAGGAATGAGGCCACGAAATCAGCTGCAAGAAAGTTACTGTTAAGGTACAGATTCCCTAGAGGAAGTTTAGTTTGGTCTTGTTCATAGATGGCAAAAATTTACAAAAGATATTTTTTTGTAAATGGAATGTCAATATCTTTTATTAGCAGTATGCACTAATCTCTTTTCTGTAAATCGCATATATGACCAATGTCATTACAGAAATTCCTCCTCTGAATTCTCTAATTCAGACCTTGAGATAATTCTGATTCTTTCATGTTAAGGGCATGTATACAACTATAACCTAGTAATACAGGCCCAATACTTACAAATGCTCAAAGTGGATACACAGAGTCAGGTAAGTGGGCACACCAAAATTATAGTAGTTACTGAATTCTCTAATTCAGACCTTGAGATAATTCTGATTCTTTCATGTTAAGGGCATGTATACAACTATAACCTAGTAATACAGGCCCGATACTTACAAATGCTCACAGTGGATACAAAGAGTCACGTAATTGGGCACACCAAAATTATAGCAGTTAGAATATGTGCATGTGCAATCTCACAAGTATAATAAACTATAACACCATGTACTTATAATTCCAATCACGAAACAGCTGATGGTCACTTCAACCATTTAATTTCAAATGCCCATTTCAAGTTTTGGTGTCTGTACATACAAATTTTACATATTGCAACAATCCAAAGGATATTACTGTGTATACTCACCATTTAAGTGTAATCACTCTACAGACTGCACATGTTTATTGGAAGCCACTCGAAATGCACTCAACTTTCTGAAACTTACTTATATTCATTGATTTTTTTTATTTTAACAGAAGAAAATTGAAGTCATATTCTTGTTAATTCTAAAGAATGATGCCTTTGAGTTAAATAGTATAAAACTTGAAGTTTATTGCCACTATGTAAAATTAGTTTACAAAATACTAAAACATTGTATATGATCATTACAATGAGTGATCATGTGGTTTCCATGAAGTCCCCATTACTGTTTTATTTCATGTAACAAATGTAGAGAGGATTTGTTTTCTAAGCACCTAACAACTAGAAATATGCTGCTGTATATGTAGAATAAAAGTTGGAAGGATTTCTCACATACATTTTATTTTAGAAGCTGGGCATAGTGCTGCATGCTTTATTCCCAGCACCTTGGAAGGCAGATGAAGGTGGATTTCTTTGAGATCAAGGCCACTCTGGTACATTGCATGTGTTATTCTGTCTTAGGCTCTGTAGTTTAAACCCTGTTTTAATAAATAAAGCAGTAGCATTTGTCACAATACACAAAAAGTCGCTATTTGTTTCAATATAAATTTCATATCAAGCTGATTGTGAGTTCCCGTAGCAAAAAATTTATGTTTTGTAAGGACATAATCTCCAATAATTTTCATTATTCTGCTTCATAAAATACGAAATATTTCAATCTACCTGCAATGATACATAAATTCTGCTATATTTTTTAGTTCTATTTCAATGAAATACTTTAATTTCTGAACTATTATTCTGCTATATTATTTTAACAAGTATATTGATTAAAATATTATTTGAATTACAGTTTTTCAATTTTTTTATTATTTTCTTCAGTATATAACAGTCTTTATTGTTATTTACTTTATGTATGTATGTGAGGGTTTGTGTGTGTGCGTGTGACGGGGAAGAAAGAGAGAGAGAGAGACAAAGAGAGAGAGAGAGAGAGAGAGAGAGAGAGAGAGAGGAGCCTATATGACTGTGCCTCTCTACCTATTTTCATCTTTGTTCTTTTCTGGAGACTTGGCATCCACCACTGCATAACCAGACAAGCTGGCACACAAGGTTCTGGGTATTCTCCTGTCTCCACCACTTCCTTCCAAAGGGCTCCTGGGATTACAGAATCTTCACCAATTCCTCTGGTTTCTAGGTGTGTGGTGCTTACTATGCACTGTGGTATTACAGATATGCCTGTATTAAAAATTCTGATATTTAGTATCAATTTTAAGATCAAGGGGAGATCTGAACGGCTAAGAATCTGCTCCTTCAGGATTCTTTTGAAGCTGTGTTTTATTGAAACAATATATCCAGAGTGAAATGGGAAATAAAATTAGACCCTTATCAGATCATTTTGGTCCATTTGTCCCTATTCCTAGAACACACACACACACACAAACACACACACACACACACATACACACACAAACATACACACACCAGAAAAAGATGTTATCAATTAAATTTTATGCATTGTTTTACACACAAATGGAATAATTATATCTACATTATTTTCAAAGAATAATCTCTGCTTTCAGCGATTTTGCTACTCAACACACACATACAAACACACACTCATCCACAAACACTCAACTCGAACACATCTATACACACAAACACACATTATATAAACACATATATACGTACATGTATGCACACATGCACACACACGTAAACACGTATACACATATACACAAACACATCTACATAATACTCAAATACAAACACACAGACACAATTACACACAGTCACACACAGGCCCACACCTACACACACACATATGCACACACATATACACACATATATTCATGCACACACATACACATATGCAAAGACAGATATATACACGCACACACAAACACATATACACATTTATACATGCCTTCACACACATTCACATATACACTCACACACACATACATGCACACACATACATACAGACACACACATGCACACTCATATATGGACATATACACATCTACACATACACTCACATATATACCCACACATACAAACAAATGTATACATTATGCTGAGTCCAAGACACGGAATTGTCATGAGAAGTTTAAGCTATGTTTAGGTTACAAGAGGAGCTCAAGAAGAGGATTGTTCTCATGACAAACAGGGTGAGATAATACTGACTTTCTGGTTGTAAGGTTAACTAAATTAATTGTTAGAGTATGTCCACATTGTAAAAGTCACTACTATATATAAGGGTTCTAATCATCACAGTGAAATCAAATAGTCAAGATTGCATCCAAGCACTTTTACCTACTTAGCTGTACCTACAATCCATAAAATATTGCATTACCTTTATAACTTTCATAGCCTTATTTTAGTGGCTTTAGGAATATCGTGTGTCCTTGAAGATTAACACTTATATTATAGGAATCCCAACCTTCGTTAGATGACTGAAAAGCCTTGCATTAGATCACCCCATGTTATACAAAGGGACTCCAGAAAATGTTTTTAAAGCTAGGCAGGGGGTCATAGAGGCTAAAGATCTGAATCACTTGGGATGTGTTTTCACTAGACTCTCTTTGCTAGATCTAAATGTGAGACTCTCTCAGCCCCAATAGTGAAGAGCTACATTGAAGGAAAATTTTAAGTCACAATGTCTGACAAGTTCTTAATACTAAAAGGTGGTCCAAAGAGGCAACTATTAGAAAAAAAAGTTGTAAGGGAAGAGGAAAAGAGGAAGGTCATCCATGTGATGGAACCAGGCTGTACACACGAGGGTTGACAAGGGGGGACTGTGCATGTGGGAGAGGCAATAGCCCTTTGGGCTGTGGTTCCTGGCATCTTAATCAGGGTCTTGTGGAAAGTGCATCTGGCTCTTGACTCAATCCTGAAGACTGGAAATTAGATTTGAGAGTGGTGAACCACAAAGGCAGCTTATCCCATAGTCTACTCAAAAAATCATTAGCCAGGATTGGAGAAAGAGCAGTGGCTTCCTTTTCTCAGGTGAATAAACTTACACAGCCTGTTGAGCCCTGCCGTGGCTTATTACATAGAATTTACACAGGAGTTTTTATCTTAATAATGTGCCATTTGTTAGTTGTTGCCATTTACTCCAAAGTGAACTGTCTGATTTAGAAAGTCTTTTCTGCACCTATACCTTGTAGGAAATGCCTATGTTTACCTCTACCTTTTTCAGCAATTCAGGTTTCACATTGAGGTCTTCGATCCATTTGGAGTTTATTTTTATAAGGATCATAGATATATCATTTCATTCTTCTACAAGTGGAAATCCAACCTTCACAGCATAATTTGTGGAAATGCTCCTCTTCCTCCAGGGTGTGTTCTTAGCATCTTTGTAAAATATCAGATGCATAAAATTGCATGCATTCATGTTGGGTCTTCTATTTTTTCCCATGAATCTATGTTTTATTGTCAATAGCATGCTGTTTTTATAACTATCACTCTGTAATATGCTCAGAAATCTGGTATGTTAATCTTTCCCATATTTCTATTTTGTTAAGGATTGCCTTGGCTATCAGGATCTTTTGTAATTCCGTATGAACCGTAAGATTTTTTTTTCTATTTCTATAGAAAATGTCATGGGGATTTTCATAGGGGTTGCATTTCACTTGTTTTGGGGAGGATGTCCATTTTCACAATATTAATTCCACCAATCCATGAGCATGAGAGGCCTTTCAATCTGCAATGTATTCTTCAATCTTTTTTCTTCCATGCCTTAAAAATTTCTCACCCAAGATTTTCTTTCACTTCCTCCATTTGAATTTCTTCCACGACATATATTTTTTAATGCAAGTGTATATTGTCTCTTTGATTTCTTTCTTGGTGTGTATGTTAAGTTGTATATAAGAACAGGTGATCATTTGGACCTCATGAATGTAGAAAGCTTTAGTCCAGCAAAGAACACTATCTATTTAGTATAGGGGTAGCCTATTTGTGCTCTCTTGTGTACAATATTATATCACCTGAAAATGGTATAATTTGACTTCTTTTCCTGTTACTCCCCATTTAATTTCCTTCCCATGTGTTTTTGTTTCTCCTTTTCTTTTTTAAATTGAATTTTGGAACATTTCAGATCATTTATTTTGATATTATTTAGGCTCCATCCCCTATCTGCACCCCTCTTATAGCCACCCTGCCAGATTTCATGTACTCTTTCATCTATATTAAGGCCTATGAAAATGTTTGTGTTTCCCGGTATTCTTCAGTGTCCATCTATCCACTGGAGCCTTGTTAACCTATCTAGTGTCACAGCCCTAGAAAAAAAAACAACTCCCCATCTCCCAGTTATCAATTTCCAATACTTCCCAGGCTAAGTTTGGCGCTTCATACCTACTTCTCCACTTCTATGCCAGGATTTTGTC